ATGTAGAAGGTCATATGAAGAGGAGATAATAGCATGTGGGCAGACGTGGATCCACGTGAAAACGTTGTTAGAGAGTCGAACGCAATGGAGAAGTTTGGCTGAAGCCGTATATTCTGCTGGGAACTAAAGGAAACAATAATATAACAATACTTCTGAACCACTGTGTGAATGAATGACAAATAGGGACTTGCACAAAATCCAACGATTCTAAGGAAATTATGATTGATTTCATGAGTAGATTTGAAGATTTTTTCACTATCCATGGCGACAAAACGCTGCAGTAGGGATAACATAAAATGTGATGGAACTTAAAATTCAACTATATTTCATGTTAAAAAAATAACAACTATCTACATCAGTGTTTAATACAACAAGAAAAGAAGCACACACAATAACTGGTACGACCAAAACCGACTTGTTATGGTCTGAACGCAGGAAACTGATCTCCACGTCCTACTGTATAGCTGTTCGGAACTTCTTTGAGACACACACACACACTGTCACAAAATGCCCAAAAGATAGCATAAAAAGATGATTACTGGTGGTTGGATCTATGTTTGGTTCTACTCAGCAATAATGAAATCAAAAGCTCAAAATTACCTCAACAGCTGCGTTAGGCAGTTACACAGATCACATAATTTCCAAGTACAAAACAAGTACTGTAGAATAAAAATTAGTTAACCAAAATTCAGATGTGAGAAGTACCTCAGAATCAAGTAGAATATCACCAAAAAGGTGGGATCAAAAATTCTCTGCATAAGAATCAGATCAACAAGTCCCGCGAACAGTCCAGCGCCAAAATGACCTTCATTCACTCAAACAAAATCCTAATTGTTAAACATCACATTGTCAAAGTGTCGCATAAACACAAAGGGAAGCCTTGAAATTAGAAAATAAAAAGGCGGTAGAGACAAATAGTAAAAATCAAGTCAACAGATGATATGCAAACATTGGAGTAACGATATATAGCCTTGGAAAAAGAAAAAAGTGATATCAAAGTTAGTTGAGATATCCAAAGAAGCTTCAGTATTGTGATTAGATCGTTCAGGAGGAATTTTCAAATTAATCTTTTCGTTACAGTAAGATTGTATATCAACAGACTCAAGCGCGTTTTTAAAAGTTACAACAGAATTCGTAATATGCTCCGAAAGTAGTAGGGGAAATGTAAATGCCACTATTTTTGCCGTAGCAGTTCATATATGAAACACAGAGGTAAGTGTTAGGTTTCCTCACTGTGGTAGAATGTAATTCCACTATAAATACGTTCACTAGATATAACACATCGTGACACAGCACCAATAACTGTATTATGTTTCCAGTAGACTGGATTATGCGTCACACAAACTCAAAGAATTGCAGGTAGGCCAAGACCAACAAACTGGCAGAAGGAGCAGCCGGCGAAGACAGGACTGATTACAGATGAAAATAGAGAAGACGTAGGTGGTGAAGTTAATCAACCAACAGCAACAATCAACATCAATGGGAGAGATTGGACACCCGTTACTTCCTTCACTTATCCGGCTAGGAAGCATGGTCAGTCAGTCAGAATCGGAAAGGCAAGATACGTCTTCTTCAACAAGAAACCAGTTTGCAAATCTTCTGCACTCAGCTAGCCAGTATAAACAACAAGATTCGGAAGAACAAGGTTTTCATTTTCAACACAAATGTGAAGTCAGTCAGTCAGTTCTTCTATATGGGTAAGAAACTTACACTGAGTTCGCCTCATGAAAGGGATTTCCAACAAGTTACAAGTCATTATGTTTCGAGTACAATTCAGTGCTCATAATTATATCAGTTGATTCACACGTCCTCATAATTTGCTTTATATATACACATACGTGTATACATTTTCTTTCTCTCTTCCCCCTGGTGTTCTTTGCAGTTCCCCACCTCCATACCCAGAGTGAAAGCATTAAAACCTAATACAGTTAGTTGGAGCCAGAGGTTAATCACTGAAGCTTTGTTTACCGATTCAACACCACCCATATAGCAATCGAAATGATGCAGCGCCCATACCGAAGATATAGAAAGTGGCAACATACAACAAGGGCGAGAGAAAAAATATATATGGCAAATTATACAGTCATATGAATAAATCGATATGATTATGAGCAATAAATTTTGCTCGAGAGCTTCTTTACCCAACTACTATCGTCAATGATTTTCCTGATTGCAGTAGATTGGATAATGCGACAGAGAGCGGGAAATGAGGAAACAGGCATAAAATGGACTCACACAAAAAACTTGGAGGATCTGGACTTGATATATGTCTGATTTCCCACAAACTGGAAGGTATGCAAGTGAAAAGCAACAAGTTGGCAGAAGAAGCATCAAAGATAGGACTTCAAGTGAACACAGAGAAAACAGAGGTGATGAAGATTCCTGAACAGCACCAACAGCAGAAACAACAACAGAAAACAATAAGCATAAATGGAAGGAACCTGAAAGAAACAACCTCCTTTACATACCTACGTAGGAAGCATCGATTAAACTACAGGCGGAACTGATTGGGATATCAAAGCAAGAATCGGAAAAGCAAGACAAGCTTTCACTACTCTCAAGTCTGTGTGGAGGTCAACATCATTCAGCATCAAAACTAAGATCTGGATTTTCAACTCCAATGTGAAGTCAGTGCTACTATACGGATCAGAGACTTGCACTGCGCGTCATAAAGAGCATCTCAAACAAACTACAGACCTTCATTAACAGTTGTCTTCGCTCAATACTCAAGATCAGATGGCCAGAAAAGATCAGCAGTAGGGACCTGTGGGAGCAAACCAATCAGGAGTCGATTGTGCAACAAATAGGCAGGAAGAAATGGAGGTGGATTGGCCATACTCTGAGGAAACCATCAAGTGACATCACTAGACAAGCCATTGCTCGAGTGGAACCCGAAAGGGAAGCGGCGAGTTGGTCGTCAGTGCAAGGGTGACTTGAAGGAGGTCATGTGAAGAGGAGATGAAAGCGTGTGGGCAGACTTGGAGCCAGGTGAAAACTCTAGCAGAGAACCGAACGCAATGGAGACGCGGCTGAAGCCGTATGTTCCTCTAGGAATTAAAGGAAATAACAATAATAATAAATTTTGCTCGAAACATTATCCAGTAATTAATACTTCACCATTGTGTGTTATATTCAGTAAATGAATCTAATATGAAGCCCCAACATGAACACAGTCTGTGTTTTTGTTTCCTTGAACAGCATAATGCAAGACAACGCTTGTACATTATCAGCGACAGTCTTAATGAATTATATAAATTTAACTGATTTTAAACTATGAGATGATTTTAGAACGTTGTAACACACTCATGTAACTTTCTTAATAATAATGCGCTTATTGTTCATCATAATTTTGTCTGGAAAAGTGAAAACTATTTATAACTCAAACGTATATTGTTAAAAATAAGTATATAGAATAAATCACGATAAAAACCTAATTAATTAATGTGCGTAGTGAAATGTGTTTAACAAGACAATTAAAAAAGATAATATCTCAGTTTTTAATTTACTTCCTTTTTTATAATTTACAGCTCTGATGATCTACGTTTTTACTCTATGAAGGTGAAATTGTAACACGAAATGTTTTCCGCCTTCAAAGTTCTACTTTTTTGACGTTATCTCTCAGTTATCTACGTCGTTTCATAGAGAGAAAAAAAGAAGTCGTTAGAGGTGGGAAAAAAAGCACAGACATTTGAATTCTAAGGGAAAGATAATTTGTTTGAAAATTCAATGGTCTAAACAGACTTCATCTTGTATTTATTAGACATATGGTAGTTTAATATAAACGTTTGAATATATCGCCAAACAAATGCGTTTTTCAGCTTCCATGAAGATATGACAACAATTTAATATCCATCAGCCCAGTCCACGAAATCAGGTAAGGGAACAGTTTCTCGTCGATGGCATTGGCTGCTGACTGCACTATGTACCACGAAGCGGCAGAAGTTGGAATTCATTGGTTATGGTGTCTGATCCCATTTGCTGAATGGTCCTGAGTCCGAACTCCAGTAGACGCCTACTTCTGAGGGGTATCAAACTATATTTTTTTTTTTAGTATGACCAAACCACTGTCAGCATTAAGCAGCTATCCAGTGTTCTCTGGCTTCCCGATGGTTCTTTTTAACTAATGTCATCCCATGATCACGCCTGCAGTTTAACTACTGAATTAGTAATATATGTTGTTTTCCTAGCCACCGGATCGACAATATTCGGAGAGAGAGAGATCTGCTGGCAAAATTAATTACTCACCCCATAATAGCAATATTTATGAAAAATTTAATTGGTGGATGGTGACTAGCAGTGGGATCCAGGATGCGCATTTCGTCCTATTTAGGGCTCGTCATTTGGATATACCTGCATTCCCTAATGCGTGAGTGATAATGTTCCCACCGAGGCTCGAACCCAGTGCCCATAGTTTCAAACGCCAAAGCGTTATCCGCTAGACTACTTACGCCACGAGAGCTACTTGGATTCCACTGCTAGTCACCATCCACCAATTAACTTCTAATTAAATGCCCAGACATCGTCGATGCATCTGTACAAGAAGCCGACATGTCAACCTGAGACCAAGCACTTCGGTCCAATCAATCAACGGGAAAATCTAAAATTCAATTAAATTTATGAAAAATGTTAATTCTAAGCGACTAACGTAACTGACTACCGTACACTCTAAAATACCAATCAGTTTACTGTTCTTTTCTTTCTGAAAACAGTGCATCAATGTGAAAAGGGAAATTCGCCACGAAAGATCGTTTATTTTATCTTGAAGAAACCCGAGAATTTCAAAGTTAATTTTGATACTGACACTGGCATAATGTTATTCTCCTCTAAGGCATTTACTTGAATAAAAGTTTATCAAAAGCCATAATCTCATTTTAACGTAGGAACAATATTATTGGTTGTTACTTTTAGCTGTAGGCTTTTTTGATTGGTTAATACTTTCTGAAAGCGTGGTACAAAACTATATATATTCACAAATATATATGAGAGCTATTTAACAGATTAATTTTATGACTACTGTTCTGCATGCCAAAGGTTCATTTATTCCATTCTTTTGAAAAATTTCCTGAGATGAAAGCTTCTCAAACTAAATGATATGCTCAATAATAAATCCTAAAACAAAAAAATAATTATTCCCAATTATCTATTCAATAAAATTTTGAAAAACAAAGGAAACTATAAATACTCCAGATTAACATAATGATGAAAGGATCACAAATTACAAATCACAGAAAATTTCCCGTCGATGGATGTCTACCTGATATTGATTATTCTGCTATGAGAATGAAAAATTTAGATGATCAAGACTTAGACAGAGTCTTAATGGAGTATGAGGTAAGCAAAATATTTTACAAACGTTGTTATGAAATATTTCGCTAACGATTTTGGTATTATTTTAACTATTCTTGAGTCTCTAATATGATCACAGATTGATATCAGTTAGAGAACCACTGAAAACCTTGGAATGCTGTATGGCTGTTTCGTCTTAGTTTGCGACTCTTCAGAAGTACGCATGCACAGGGGTTCTAACTCATGACATCCTGGTTACATTTCGAGCTCACAGATATTTCATCCATTGAGATGCAACCAATTGGCTCATGAATTCTAACATCTACCAGCTCGTGATTTTAGCGCGACCTTCAGCCAAATTCATTGGCAAGTATTGGTCCTTACTGACAATGGACTGGACTGCACTGGTCACGAATCAACACTTGAACTCCAGGCGACTTCGTCCTTTAGCTAATGACTAGCTATCACAGGATTGATTTTCAAGAGTTCGTTTGTGGGGTTTTGATTTGTTTCAAATCTGATCATGAATTGCCGTCAGTTAGAGAATCCTTTAAAGAAAGCGCTTTGATGGTCTGCGACCTCAAAATGTAACCGGATGGTCCTGAGTTTCAACCCCGATTAGTATGTACCGTTACACAGTCCCAAAATAGGATAAAACGGGTGTGTGTTTCTTTTTGGTTTCCAGTGGTTCTCTAACAAATGTCAATCTATGGTCAAACTTCAAACAAATCACTAACTCTTTAAAATATTCTTGGGTTTTCCATGCCTTTAGGTTCTTTGAGGCATAAGTTTCAACTGTGAAGATTCTGCTGACTTCCTTAAGTTACATCTATAGAAGATTCAAAATAAGGTTGTCTTAAACGTATTTCTTGCACTTGAGTGTTACGGTTGTCGTTGTAGAATTTCCTGTCATTTTGTCCCCTTGCACTTTTTCGTTGACTTGGTATTTCTCATTTTCGGTTTTCTGACTTATTCTCTGTTGAGTCGTCGATAGAATAATTTGAGGAAGTTAGAGAGAGGAGAAATGTTTCATAATTACAGGAAATAATGTGAAGCCATTCGCAACGCGAAGAACAGCCTTTTTAGTGGTATCAGTATGAATTGGAAACGGAATCAGGCAACAAAATGCTATTTTAAATGTCTTCTTTAAAAGAAGATTCACAGGGAACACTTGGTTGGAGAAAGTCAAACCATGTGGATCAGTTACAACAGTAACAATCTATCAGCAAACAAAACATGCACTTTGTTTGGACATAAGGTAGTCACTAGTGCCATGCATTTAGTCCTTCGTTTGGTGTGAAGTGAATTCTACCAGTTAAGTTTGCAATGTGTCAACCAACCATACTAGGCGGACTGACATCTTGATGCACTTTGAATTGTTCTTATTAGATGGTTGAAGGCAATCGATGGGATGCCCTGCGCAGAGGTTTCGTGTTTTTTGGTGTTCATCAGCAAGGCGTCAGCCCTCAAGTCAACCAATCGACTTGAAACCATCTACTTGAATTATTAGGAAAATCCTACTAAAATATGAGAAGAACATTTCTGAAATGGCTGTTAAAACATTGAAAACATTTCAGATGTGTGTTGCTTACAAAATAACACAGTCGTTTCGGTTGATATTCTGTAGATCGAATGATATGACAGTACAGAAAGGCTTAAGCTGCATAATTTGTAAGTTGCAGCAACTATGAAAAGCATTATGAATTTTCGAAGAAGATGGTTCCTTGAGTTTAACAACGGAAAACATAAACTTGAGTTTAGATATATTCCTTCATAGCAGTGAACATTGACAACAACAAAAATGTCAATTAAAATGGAAACTGTATAGTTCAAACACAGGGAAAATATCAAAAGTGATGCATTTAACTGGCATTTTGACAAAGATACCATTTATTCATTAAGAAAAGACAAGTCATGAGGCAAAACAGCAAATATCAGGTCAAGGAAACGATCAACTCTAATTCAAGTGGATGCAGTGATCTTCAGATTTTCGACTACAATTAAGATTATCCAGAAAGACGGTTATTTTATTCAGCAAGGATTCAAAATATTGCGAGAAACAGAGCTGAATGCGCTTTTATATTGACTTATACTCGGGAAGTATGGAACTTTTAATATCATTTTTATCCCTTAACACAATTTAGAAAAGCTTTCCAGTCGTCAAGTACTTAATATTACGTCGTATAGAATCAAGGGAGAGCAGCTAATCCCCACGTTTGCAACTATGATCTCCAAGTAAGAGACTGGACGAATGCAAAAATCCTACACTAGTTAGTAGGTTTTTGAGAACCTCATTTACGAAATTTTTAGTCACCCTGATGGAAGAAAAATGGTGCAGTACAGTAAACACTTTTCAATTCAGCCTTTTGAATACCTCGCTCACTTTTCCCACACCTGGATTTTCGGGTAATATTTCTTCGGTTCCTGTTGAAATTTCATGTGAACCAGCACTCTACCTACTTATTTTAAGCTTTATACACAGTTATTCATCGTTTGTGAGCAAGGAATTATGCAGAACGTCAGTTGTTAGTTATGTCATCAAAAGAATAGTTCAGTAAAAATTCGACGCTAGTCTTTGTAAATAATGATCACGTTCATTTCTGTTTGATAAAATATGAACCAAAATAACTATTATTAAATTTGCTGTCTCTATATATATTTCATACTGACGGCTAATAATGTCACAAGTAGATCTCTGCATAAAGAATAATTCTAAGCTCTTACAAAGTACAAAATGTAACACGAAGAAACTCGTATTTAACTGTCTATTAGAAGAGCTAAAAGGATTCAGTTAAAATTCTTCACGATATACTTCCTTTATGGGTAAATTTCATTTTGATAGAGTCTCACAGTGTTATACAGTAATATTCACTGATGACGTTTCAAGCACAATTTATTGCTCATAATCATACCTTCACTGAGATAGTCGGTCATGTAAGTATTAATTACATTCAAAAGATTTTCAGAACACTTCTGTTGAAAAAGAAAATAAAATGTTTAGAATAAAAGTGAGGTGAATTTAAGGGGCGAAACGGTTCTCGCAAAATTTAATAAGCATTATTATTCTTTTGGGTTCTGAGTGGAACATAGGGCTTCAACAACACATATTCACTTTGTTCTATCTTCTGCTGCACTCTCCTCGGGGGTCCCCGACTACTCGTAATCTCTCTTTACCTCCCCACCACACGATCTCCTCCATGTCACCCTCGCACTGACTGCCCACTCGTCACTTTTCATTTGGATCTCACTTGAGAAATAGTCTGGCACGAGATGTCATTCGGCAGCTTCCTCAATGTATACCTGATCCATCTCCATCTTCTCCTAAATATTTGTTGAGAGATTGGCTTTTGTTTGGTTTGTTCCCAGTTTGAGTTTCTTGAGGCTAATTCTTCCTAGACAAATGATCTCCGATGCAGAGAGAAGGGGCAGTTGTTGCTAAAAGTCTGCAATGGCCTGCTGGGAATCCTTTTCGTGATGCGTCAAATTTCTGACCCATACGGAAGAAGTGACTGACTTCACATTTGTGTTGAAAATCAGAATCTTGTTCTTTATGCCGGCTGACTGAGTGCAGGGGATTTCTAAACTGATTTCAAGTTGATGAATGCGTATCTGGCCTTTCCGATTCTGACTGACTTTGACAACTTCATCCTTTCCAACCGCCTGTTTTTGAAACCGTGTTTCCTAGCCCCCTTTCCCCCATTGCTGATGATTGGCGCTGGTTGTTGCTGCTGTTGGCTGGTTATCAGCATTAGTGATGTGATATTTGGTTTCTTCTGAGTACACTGAAATTGTTTGTGTTCTTCAGGTGTAACAAACGAAGCAAATATGTTGATCAGTCCATAGGGCATCTAATTAAATTAATTTAATTTAATATTTTAGAGCTGTAATAACGTCGTAAAAATTCAAAAATTCTTCGAAATTCGTAGTGCCAGTAGTCAATGAACAAAATGTTATAAAGACTCCGAAAGCGATTCTCTGAAATCATATATATATATATATAACACATACTTCAGAGTCATCATACTCCACAAAGAACCTTTTTAAAGACGGAATGAATCTCCGTTCATTTTGATCAAATAAGTCCTTTTCTCATGAATGAATTTTGTTTCGGATATTTCTACTTATTTATTATTGTCATTAGAGATAGTATAGAACGATTACCGTAGATACTATTCGGATTATATCATTCACTGATGTGGAACTGTAGATGTGTAATCCGATATTAATTCATTACCTCGAGTATTTCACGTTTTATTACGGTGGCCTACTTCAAACTTGGGCTACCATCACTACATTGCATATAATTTATCTTGTTCTCTTTGTTTTAACTGATTAAAATATTACCTCTAATGGTATTATTTACTCTCACTAGTATTTAAAGTGTGTTTACAACCTGTTGGTGTACCAGTTCTTACTCATTTTGAGGAAAAGCATAATGGTGGGGGCCAGCTTATCCTAATAGATAAGACGACTGTTCTTAAATCATGTCAATGGGTCTCGAAATGTTATCTAGAGCTTTCTGCAATCGGCTTTCAACCAAATGTCGTGCATGTCTCGAAAGAGACAAAGAAGGAATATCATAATGGATTGGTTTGCGCTTCAGGTCAGGTACCACTGCATCACAGGATCTACTATCTACTAATATTTTGTCTGAGGGTCCCATACGAAGAGAAAATACCATACAATAAACTCCGCTAAATATCCTGTACATTACAATACACTGTTCAAAATAAAGCTATCATTCTTCTTAGCTTATAGACAATTTCTCTATACATGACACTGGCATCGTCTTTTTGTTTGCTAGAAACCAAATGTCTCATGCTAGGGGGGGAAAACTGAACCTTCTAGATCTAGAGACACTTCAGCCTAAAATATCTGTGATGCTCCTGTATTTACAAAACCATTGATGTAACACTTTCTCATTCTTTAGCATAGTTCTGTTACCTGTGAAGTTGATCTTATTTGGAACTATAAAGCATTACTTCAAATGAATCTTCGCTTTGCAAATGATAATAATAATAACAATTAGATCTTCATTTCTTGAT